TCATCCACATCTGTAAAGTAACTACAGGTATTAAATACATGTAGTGGAGTAAAAGTACACCATGTACCTCTGAACTGTAGTGGAGTAGAAGAACAAAGTAGCAACACATTGAAATACTTAAAGTACAAGTATCTCAAAATTGTACCCAAGTATAGTACTTGAGTTTATGAACTTAGTTACTCTACACCACTGGCTATACAGATAGAAAGACTAAGCCTTGCACAGAGGCATGAAAATACATTTTCAAAATGCTCAACAGTCCTGCCAAAATTATAAACTGACTTCTACACAATTAAAATAAATGCTTTTATACATTTCTATTAGATGTGACTCTTTGGCGTTTCTGTTATTAACTGCTTTAGTTGTTCTGACTGCTAACATCCTCTGTTATTCCTCATTTTAAAGCCGATATTCTGTGGGGTCGGGGGGCTCGGATCCTTGTCACCTTTTTCATACCTGATGAGTTTGCATCCCTGCTATTAACGTATTTTTAACTAAAGTGTGATCAATTCAAATGATCAGTGAATCACATGAGGTAAAAAAAAGATCTAGTGCAGCACTCTAAACTGAATCAAACTTTACAGCATGCTGATACGGTCACACCTATAAAACGATGTCACAGTAGATATGCTTTCTGACAGGCGAGGGAAACCCCCTGCAGTGACGTCGGTGATTGCGGTGTGGCCCGAAGTGCAGCATAGTCTATAGATGAAAAGCCACTGGCAATCATTCATTTAGGTGAAAAAAGGGGGTTATAGCCACTTTCTTCCTATTTTAGCTCAGAAATGTTTAAACTTCATCCCTGTTCAAAAGTGATTCAAATGTTGCCGTATTCTTATCAATATTGATCTTATTTTCAATTGTCATTATTAAATGTGTTACAATTTCTTCAATACTCAGTTTGCAATAAAAGGTACTTGAGCAGAGATGGTAAACTCTGTAAATCCCACTGCATTGACCATTAATAGGCAATGGTGCAATAATCTCATTTTGTTTGCACTTATAGAAAGCTGTAGGGAGGAATGTCAGTGAAAGTACCAAAGTGTGTTGTTAAAATTAAGAATTTAGATGTGTACTTAGTCTGACTTCTTTTGTTTTGCAGGTGTGGGGACTGACAACGACGGAGTGCTGGTACTTGGAGCAACAAACATCCCATGGACCCTCGACTCAGCCATCAGAAGAAGGTAATTGTAACTACTTGGTGAAAGATGTTAGTAACCATGTTGTCACTCTCATTGACTGACTGTACACCAATAATACTCTCAGATTTGAGAAGAGGATCTACATCCCGCTGCCTGAGGAGCATGCCCGCTCCTTCATGTTCAAGCTCCATCTGGGCTCGACCCCCAACTGTCTCAACGAAACCGACTTTGTCACTCTGGGCAAGAAGACGAATGGATACTCAGGAGCTGATATCAGTGTCATTGTCAGAGATGCTCTCATGCAGCCTGTTCGAAAGGTCCAGTCAGCAACCCACTTCAAACGGGTATGTCTTTTAAAATATTTGTCACTGTTTTATACTATAGTGCAACATGTTATAGTTAACTAATTGTCACTTGTATAATTAAGGCACGAGGTCCATCAAGAGATGACCCCAACATGTTAGTAGATGACCTCTTGACTCCTTGCTCACCTGGCGATCCCAACGCGATTGAAATGACATGGATGGAGGTACCTGGGGAGAAGCTATTGGAACCTATAGTATGCATGGTAAGAATAAACAAAAATACCAAATGGTAATATAATTGCACATATGAGCCTCCGCTTTAATATCTTGTTATATTTTCTCCCCTTTTCAGTCTGACATGTTGAGGTCTCTGGCCAGCACAAAGCCAACAGTCAATGATCAAGATCTGGGCAAACTGAAAAAATTCACAGAGGACTTTGGACAGGAAGGCTAGGAGGGATAATTAAGCCAAGCCATACCAAAGGAATTGTCATTGTCTCTTCTTTTTGTACCTGTCCCTTTTTTCCCTCTCTATGCGTCTCATCATAACCATTCACCAGGCTTCGTGGTTTATCGTAAATGGACAAGATCACTGCGCTGTTCTGCCAATTTGATAACTACTAAAAGAGTGGAAGGACTGAGTTTTATTTCATATCAACCAAAAGACTTCCCATAGGCAGTAAATCGATACAACAAAGCTACTTGGGGAAACTAAAAGCAGACATACACACAAATGATTGCAAACAAGGTTTTTGAAATGAAGATAATTTATTTTAAGTTTGGGACTAGCTCTTGCATCCTTTTTCCAGTCGGAATACATCTCACTAATAAATAACCCTTATGTATTCTCTATTTTATATTAAGAAAAAAACCAAGCATTTTATAGTGTATACTGTATTTTGTGGAATGTTTAAATCTTGGACTGGGGGAGTGAAGCAGGCATGAGTTCATAGGATATGTTAGAAATATGTCATTGTTGTCTCAAGGTGGTGAACGTTTAAGAGTTTTGAGACAGATACTCAGGATGAGAGCTATATTAGACCCTTTTGAATTTCAAGTGCATCAAGTTTCCTACAAAAAAAAAAGGACATTGAAGTTTGTTTACTTCTTTTTCATTACAATTAAACACGCGACAAGGGTGGATCACCAATGGTGCCAGACCAGCATTATTTTACAATATTCAAGGACTCAAATGCTTTTAATTGCTTTGCACTCAGCTCATGAGTTAGGTTTCTCACAACATACTGTACATATTTTTCGTTATTATCAATAGGCATTGCTGGTTATCCAATATAAACTGCAAATATACTAAGCCTTATGTTAAGAAAAAGTCATTATAAATTTCGGTCAAACAAAACTTAGTTGGACACTGAAGGCTCAGGTGGAGAAATCTTCTTGTATACCTAACAATATGGGAATGTATCTCCAAGCATGAACTTTATGTAGCCACGAGTGGCAGTGTGCACCATGTGCCTTCTAGAGAAACTGCAAGATTTATTTTTTATTGGTTTATTTCTTAATTGGTCATACTTCTTATATATCCAGTGCTTTGTCAATACAACTAAGACATGTATGAAACTTTCACATTTCATGTAAGCTCTTTTAGAGATTGTATACAAATGTTATTTTGCTCCTAAGGTGTGCAAACTATCTCCTTTAAGTTTTGATGGGGAATATCTCTTAAGTTACTGTAAATGTCTATACATATAGCCAACACTTGACCCTTTTCTTTGTGAAGAGTTGACAATGCATAAGAGTTTCTGTTTTTGTTTCAATAATGTAAATAAAAAGTTATAGCGACATAAAAAAAAACTTCCGTTCCAGTTTCCTTTTGTATCAAATTCAGGACAAATCTTTGTCAAGCATTAAAGGTTGGGTAGGTAAGTTTGTGAAACCGGCTCGAGATACACTTTTTGTTATATTCCATGGAATGCTCTTAACATCCCGATAGCAATGAATATCTTAAGTGCTTTGACAAAAAATCCATAAAAAAATGTCATCTGTGGAAGCCGTAATACTGTAAAAAGTACGACCAATCATTTTAGCCGGCCCGGCTAAAATAACTGGATGGCCTACCTGCCTGTCAGCCATTGGTCATGTGTGCGTTCGTGTGTGTTGGAGGAGGGGCTCTATAAGGAAGTGGCAGATTTTCTCCGGTTGTGTATTTTCAAATTCTAGCGATCTCGAGCCGGTTTCTCAAACTTACCTACCCCACCTTTAACAAAAGGGATATTTAAGCAATAGCTCACGACAGGCCGTGGTATATGGCCATTATATCACAGTTAAGGGGCGTGGTTCGGCCCGAGGCGAAGCGGAGGCCCAACTGTATACAGTTTTTCTCAGACGCGGAGGGATACTGACTTGTTGTGAAAAGTAACTACAATTCTACCCGTGGTATACGCTCAGTATACCACGGCTAAGAACCAATCAGATTGCTTGATTTGACTTGTCCGTTTTATAAAGAATGATTATCACCTTTTTCACAATTTCAAAAAACAACCTTACCTTATCAGCGATCATACCTGGTGGCTGGTTGGGTTTGGTGTGAACATAAATGTATGTTCACACCAGAGGCAGAGGTGGGAAGTAACTAAGTACATTTAATCAAGTATTGCAATTGAGAACAATTTTGAGATACTTGTACTTTACTTGAGTATTTACATGTTATGCTACTTTGTACATCTACTCCACTACAATTCAGAGGTAAATCGTGTGCTTTTACTCCACTACATGTATTTAATATCTGCAGTTATTTTACAGATTTGGATAAATAATGTGTAATATAATCAACCCTTAAATAAGACTGTAGTTACACCTGGAGTAACATTCACAAGCTACCCTGCAGCATGCAAAGTATTTAAAACTAGCTGCACCTTTACCAGCTTTGATCACACTTTAATGCATCACTAATTATAATAACATGTGATATATATTATTCTGAAATTGACTAATTTGCATAATAAGTAGCCTACTTTTACTTTTGGTACTATAGTATATTTTGATGCTAATGCTTTTATACTTGTATTTGTGTAACCTTTTGAATGCAGGACTTTCACTTGTAAAAGCGTATTCCTACACTCTAGTACTTCTACTTTTACTCAAGTACAAGAGCTGAGTATTTCTCCCACCTCTGAAGAGAGGGTGTGGAGCTCAACTATACGATTGAAACGGATACGACGAATGAGGAAGCGGGGCATTGCATTGTGGGAGTTGATGTTAAGGCACCTCAAGAAGCGTTTGGATTCAACTGAAACCCTGTTAGCTCAAGAACTACATTTACCAAGCACCCTCGTAAAGCCTCCGTTTGCAGTGCACCGTTCGATTTGTTTTGGTTTATACAGACTGCGCTTTGTACCGGGGAGCGAAGGTCCACCGCGTAACTTTAAGGTGGTCGTTACACTTCTTTGACTCATTGCCAAATCTTCCAACTCCTCCTCCCACTTGTTTCGCCTCCCCCTTTGAGGGCCATCGCCTGCCTCATAGCTCCCGTTATTGGACCCCAGAAGCTGGCCTGCTAGTTAGCAAACAAGCTAACGATAGTCAGGTTTCACCCATGTCCTCTGAAGAAGCGTTGAGCTCAACGTTCACGGATTGGCTTTTCATCAATTCCTGGTGGCTCCTTCTGCCATTCATCATGCTTATTGTAGTGGCTGCCTTTATTGTTGCCTTTGTGTTGCTGTTATACATGATATCGCCTCTTATTAGCCCCAAGCCTCTGAAACTGAACGGGGCCCACGTCGTGGTAAGTGTGCATGTTAACTGCTGACGTTAGTTAGGCTGTTAACGATAGCTAACGTTGTCTCTAACTGTAGCTTTATAGCTAGTTCTCGTTTGTAAGCTATAGCTTATAACCAGCCGTAAGGCTTTGAATGAGAAAAATATATTGAGTTGCGAATTTACAATGGCAGTGAACTGTTATGAAAAGTGACACGCCCACATAATGAATTGGGCAACGTTGACATTACAGTTATGCTAACGCTAACTTCCGAACTCCCTCAACTCTATTTGCAAGTTTACCCTAACAATACATAAACAGTTTAAAACGAATGCATTTACTCCGGCTATCAGAGGTAGAGAAGTAAAAGTCCTGCATTCATTCTTAAGTACCAAAAGTACTCATGCAGATTGGACGATTTCAGAATAATATATCATATGTTTTGATCATAACTATTGATGCATTAATGTATTTATCACAGCTGTTAAAGGTTCAGCTAGTTTGAATTACTTTGTATTGTGCAGGGTAGCTTGTAAATGTCACTCCAGGTGTAACTAAAGTCTTATTTAAGGGTTGATTATATTTCACATACTTAATCCAAATCTGCAAAGTAACTAAATATATTAAATACATGTAGTGTATTAAAAGTACACTATTTACCTCTGAATTGTAGTGGGGAAGAAGTACAATGTAAATACTCAAGTAAAGTACAAGTATCTCCAATTTGTATTTGAGTACAGTACTTGAGTAAATGTACTTACTTTACGCCACTAAAGGTCATATATATCCTACCGTTACGAAGGTTTAGAATATCAAGTGCTGGGCCACTTCATGTTTTTTTTGTATATAATGATCTGTCAACAGAGTGCAGTTTGATTTTGACCTTTTGGTTTATAATGTTCTAACCCTTTTCATGTTTAGGTGACAGGAGGCTCAAGTGGGATTGGAAAATGCATTGCAATCGAGTGCTACAGACAAGGAGCTTTCATCACTTTGGTGGCACGGAATGAGGTCAGCAAAAACCAAATTCCACAAATCATTCCTTTGTGTCTTGCCTCTTAGCAACCTATTTGTTGTTATAGCCAACAAATTTGATGCCAAACGCAGTCAAATATATTCTAAAGGTTAACTGACTCACTTAGGTGAAGGATGTTCTCCACTTGCATGCACTTTATTCTGTGCTAAACAGTTCAGTGAGCATTTATGTTTCTGAAGATTTAACATGTACAATATTCACTTTTTTACTTAGGCGAAATTGCTTCAAGCAAAGAAGGAGCTGGAGAAATTTGCCATCAATGACAAACAGGTATGTGCCATTTATTCAATGATAGTTTTAACTGTTAGATATTGTTTTAAAGCATCTTCTATGACTGTACAGTTTACATGTTTATAAAGTGCATAATAGCTGATGCCATTTTGCATTACATTGCATATGATAATGTTTAATTTCCTTACTCAGGTGGTGCTCTGCATATCAGTGGATGTTTCGAGTGATTACAGCCAGGTGGAAAGTGTGATAAAACAGGTAACGTTACTCTCTTAGCAACAGAGGAACATCTTGGGTTCCTTTTAATAATTCAGTGCTTAAGTGTATTTTTCCTTTCATGCAGGCTCAAGAGAAGCTCGGCCCTGTCGATATGTTGGTGAACTGCGCTGGTTTAGCCATTTCCGGAAAGTTTGAGGACATGGAAGTGGACCGTTTCAAAGTAGGTACCTCGGACTGAGGCCAAGACACGGCCATGATGTTTATGTTAAGACAATAAGCTACTGATTTAAGAAGTGTTAAAAAAAGAATATAGTTTGTGAATAGGGCCATAACTTTCCAAGTTATTATGGGAATTATAATAATAATAATACATTTATTTTGTAAGCACTTTTACAGGTGCTCAAAGTCACTTTACAGAGGTAGTAAAAACAAAAAAAAGAACAACAATTAAATATAGTAAAAATCACATTTAAAATCGAGCAATAAAACAACAATCACACATTAAAAGCCAGTTTGAAGAGGCGAGTTTTTGTAAGTTTTTTTGAAGGTGGTGAGGTCAGTGCAGTCTCTATTTAACACACTTACTAACAATACTAATAGTTACATATAGCCATACTACCAGTTTTGTTCTGTTAATATACATACAAAAAACAATTCCCTACCACACCAATGGGATGTAATGTGTTATTTTACAAAAATCTACTTAATCTACATCTACAGGACCAACCTTGTTATAATATGAGTGAATTATGGCCTCTTCCAACAGAAATTGATGGAAGTGAATTACCTTGGCAGCGTTTACCCAACGCGGGCTGTCATAACCACGATGAAGGAGCGGAGAATGGGTCGCATCTTGTTCGTGTCCTCCCAAGCCGGCCAGATCGGCCTGTTTGGATACACTGCCTACTCCCCATCCAAGTTTGCCCTGCGTGGCTTAGCTGAGTCTCTGCAGATGGAGGTGAGTTTTTGTACGCTTGAACAAATACAGATTTACACAGGTTACCTCTGTACACCAAGGCAACATGCTGCAACTCAAAGCACTTTTACAATAGTTAAAATAATTAGTTAATTATATTTTCTGACCACTTTGCTGCTGAGTTGCTTGTGCTGATGTGAGACCCAATCTATCAAAAGGGGGCATTTGTACTTAACAGTATTGCCTTTTTGTGTAAAAGGTTGATTGTTGTAGTTTATCATCAATGTCAAATGGTAAGACATATTGTTCAGTGAGTGTTGCTTTTCTTCTACTCCAGATAAAGCCTTACAACATCTATGTGACTGTGGCCTACCCCCCTGACACTGACACTCCAGGATTGGCTGAGGAAAATAAGTCCAAGGTAAATATTTCTTTAAAAAAAAAAAACGTTTACATAATTAATTTCCCATTCTGCTCTATTTAAAGCATATCCCTTTCCTTTTTTACTCTGCTAGCCTCTAGAGACCACATTAATCTCTGAAACCTCTGGAGTGTGTCAACCAGACCAAGTGGCCAAAATCATTGTTCGGGATGCAGTGGTAAGAAATGCATTTCACTTGCCACTAACCCACCATGTTTCTTGTCCAGTGCATGGATAATCTGTTGTTGATTTATCTGACTGTCCCTTATCTTCTTTGCTCTTGCAGCAGGGGAACTTCAACTGCTCTGTGGGACCCGACGGCTACATGTTATCTGCCCTTACCTGTGGAATGTCACCGGTCACCTCCATCACAGAAGGTCTCCAGCAGGTAAAGCCATGGACATGTTGTCACGTTGACTGGAGTGATGCTGCTCCTGTTAATATTGTGCGAGTTTCAAATTCTAAAGTCCATTTATCTTCTGTTCACAGATTGTTACCATGGGGTTATTTCGGACCATCGCCCTCTTCTACCTGGGGAGTTTTGATAGTATTGTTCGCCGCTGCATGATTCAGAGAGAGCAGTCGAAAGCAGCTGACAAGAGGGAGTGACAGCAGCCTTACCTTATTCACAGCCCAATGCCCCTCCTCCTCCACCCCCCCCATCCCCATCCCATCCCCTCCCCTCCCCTCCTCCAGCTGTTCAAGTGCACAACTGTAGGTGGAGGAAAGGTCAGGCTTTGAGTGTACTTCTGATATCAGGAGATATGATTTAGAGTGGCAGATGTTTACTATTTGCTTGTCCAGTTACACAACTCCTCCATAGACTTCAGTCATTCTCATTATTCTATCCTCTCTGAGCATTCCAGTGACTTTTCAGTTTAATAGTCCACCTGCTTCTTTTTCAGGGAGCAGCCTTACTTTAAGGGAATGGGGGCAGACTAAACATCCCACAGCCTTGTTCTAAAGTAGGCAGGCTTTTTGAACCATTCACTAGATGTCAGGCCTCCACTTGCACAGTGCTGTTTTTTGTTTGTTTTTTTCGCACAAAGAGGAAAATCAACACACCGTCTGTCAGACCGGTTATGCCAAAAAAAAAGAAGAAATCCCTCCCACCAGGGGTTATTGTGAAAACCAGGATGGTAACTCCCAGCTTTTATCTTCACATTTCATGTATTACAAAGGAAGGTCCACATGTTAGAATATCTCAGTTTGGTCTAAATAGGCCCTTATTCTCTACCTTTTCATACCAAAAGTCTTTGCAGGCAAAGCACTTTACCTCTGTGTTTAAAACCAGGTTGAGACCCTCTGTGTTTTGTCTGAACCAAGTTTAGATTGAGAGACAAGAGCACTCTGCAGCGATATCAGAGAGCGCAGTTTTTTGGGATAATATATATTTCGGTGCATGATTGTGTGTGTGTTTTGGGTTAGCTGTGACTGAGCCAAACCCCCGGGGGGAAAAAAGCCATTCAATTTTATCGTCTCTGGAATAAACGCACCAAATTATTTTCCTTGGCATCCTATCTTATTTCATTGAGAAAGGAAAGCAGGTACTACTGGTTGAAGCCATGACATAAAAACATTAAGAGGCAACAGGGCCACCACTGGTAATGTCACTCTTCACCTGTGAATATGACCAGAGTTTAATACACATTTTCTCATTAAATATGTGAAAGGAAGCATATCATTATTACATGAAATGTGTCAGTGCACATATTCAGCCACCCCAGCCAGTCAAGATCCAAGTGGGATCCATCATTTGTTGGGGCGGTGTCAGTCAGGGCCGGGCAAGACTTGCAGGTCGAGTCATGTCCCTGTAGGTCTAGTGAGGGCGCTAGAGATTTGTTTTACAAAAAGGCCGAAATAGCAGAGGGACTAGCAGGGAAGTGTTATCCTTGTCTTTCTGATTTTGACCTGCTGTCACCCCGTCACGCACGGTTGGGGCTCTGCAGCTCCCTAAATGACAATATTCATTCCCTCCTTGAAAAACCTTGTATTCACCACATGTGTTTCCATATGTTTTGCATATAGAGGGAGAAAAGTACAGTGTCGACTCTTGCAAGTCTTCCTTCTGTCCATCACAAACGGAGAGAATGTACTTTATAACAAAGCATACAAATCAGAACATATTTTTAAATACACCAATATTTGAATGCCAAAATGTGTTGAGACAATTTTTGTAGATGCAATGCATTTGTTTGAGATTTTTTTGATGTTGCTGCTTCGTTGATGTGAGTTAGATTGTTAAAGCTGTGGCGCAGTGTGGGGACCCATTCCCAGCCTTAAGATATGCTACTGAAAAGCTAATGCGATAAGAATGCACCTGTCCACAGAACTATGTGGCTCAACCCACATGTGGTTTACCAGTTCATTTATTACGTTATCTTTAGTACTTTCACTGTAAAATGCCAACTGTTCTTGTGTATTTTGTCCATTTCCAGTCTTTGTATGACAAAAAAAGAAGCCTGGCAGAAATCCAAGTTATGAAAGTGAGAATGGATGACTCATGTTTGATGATGTTCTCATTGGAAATTGGTTAACGGCATGCTCTCCTGCACTCAAGCTTTTCACAATTGTACATTTATTGCTTTCAAAGGTTGTCTTTTACATTAAGGTAGCAACACATAGTTAATAGAACATGTAGCCCATATAAAAGCAGTTTTGTTTTAACCTATGAGCTATGCAAATGAAGCCTATGCTTACAATATGTTGGAACATAGAGTCAATATTTATGTTATGTAACCGTCAAGCTAGTTAGCCCTTATTTAATGGTGTCATCATCAGATACCCAATATGAGTACAAAACATTAAAATCATAATGCACATTTCTTTCCTTTTTTTTTCCCCTCTTGATTTTTTCTTCTGCCAAAAAACTTAACTAACACCTTCACCTTGTGTGCCATGAAAGAAAATGTGAGAAGTGGAACGTTTCTTTGTCTTATTTTCTTACATGATAAACTAAATAAATACCTGTGAAAAAAAATCTAATTCCTAGTCTTAATCTTTTAGTTTCTTAAATTGCTTTTGATTTCATTCTTTGTCACAACCATTAACTATTTACTTTTCATAGCTGCAGACGTCTTTGGCTTTCTCAATACCATATCGCTGACCTGGGTTTTTCAGAAGGGTACGTGGGCTGTGGGAATGTAAGTATTCTGTTTGAGGAAATTAGATTTTAATCTTCCATGAGGAAACTTTCCAGAGCAGCATCTCTCTCAGATTTACAGAAACACAGGATTGTGGATGTTTTGTTTGTCCCTTCAGAGAATGAGAAGACATGCTGGACAGATAGAGGAGACTAGGTAGGGAATCACAAGAACACAGGGAAATTGTATACAGGTACATCAATTGTGTACTGCAAGGTTAGATCTCCATCCACAAGGGGGTGGCTGGACCACATCAAAGCAGCAAGGCATGTCTGACTGCTCCTCATGAATTAACTAGGATCCTCTTAGAGCTTTTCTTGAAAAAAAATTGGTTTGGATCTAAATGAAAGCAGTGTCAGTTTAGATTTGAGTGGATTTAAGTCGTTAAAATTATGCTTTGCACATGCAATCACCAGAATAATGGCTATTCATGATTTTTAGTGCAGTTCACGTGCACTAGGAGTCTCCGAGCGCAGCCAAAGGAATTACGTGCGTAGCTGACGTCAGGAATACCTCACTAGCAGCACTGGCGGTGAATAGGGAGCTTCTGCGGACGATATGTGGAGCAATCGTGTAAGAGGAGTCAGTCCGACCTTGTCTGGCTCACAGTCCTGCGCCTGGTTGTGCGTAAACGCTGCTAAAATAGTTCGCGGTGTTTGAAGCCCCTTCCGGCGCGAACAACTTTGGCCCTCATTCATGTTTTTATTCGCAACACATCAGCGTCTGGTGCACAGGAATAGATCAGCACCACTCCAACCTCTTCCGCATATTGGATTTCAATGCAAAGAGAAGGTCGCCAACGTCTCTCCTAAGGATTCGGGAAATGAAGATTGCTTCTGACACGTACTCACTATGTTTTTACTTTTCAAACGTTTTTTTCTGCGCAGTTTTGATTAAGTGATTTCCTTCAACTCGCGAAGCATTTTCTCCCTGTGTGGGGATTACTCGTTGCATTGCTTCTTTTTTAACACAACCTATAGTTCTGGGTGAGCTTGTGCTGTGCATTGTACAGTGCAAATATTCGATTACAATGTATTTATTTTAGGACAACCTCTGCCCGTAGAAAGTGCCAAATTAAGACGGAATGGCGAACGAGTGTAATCGCAACATTGTGGAGAAGTATATCTGCCATAAACTCTCAAAACGGGGCTTCGCGTTTGGCTTCGATGATGTCCGGGATGAAGAGGCTGATAATAATGGGTCGATAGTTGTCCCTGCACCGACTTTGGTCCGCCGGTGCCGTGAAGCCAGCACCGGGCCTGACAGCGAGAGCCCCCCCCAGCTGTGCAGACGGATCCCCCAGCCCGACCCGGCCGTCGAGATCCACAGAGTCCTGCGGGAGGCTGGAGACGAACTTGAGAGACTGTACCAGCCGGACTTCACGGAGATGTCTCGGCAGCTCTATCTCACCTCCACCACGGCGCAGAGGAGATTCTCCGAGGTGATAGACGAACTGTTCCGGGACGGGGTGAACTGGGGCCGGATTATCGCTTTCTTCGAGTTCGGGGGCACGGTGTGTGTGGAGTGCGCCTCCAAGCAGGAGATGACGTCGCAGGTGGACAACATCGCGGAGTGGATGACAGAGTATTTAAACGGACCTCTGAGCAGCTGGATACAAGATAACGGGGGATGGGTAGGTCTGATTCCGTGTCGTTGAGCATTTTGCAGATGTGTGACACGGCGGCGCAAAAGTCCTCTTTTACCCTATCTAAAGACGTTACAGTCAATACATTCACCTTATACAAGTTTAATTGAGATGACATCGTATATTCTGACATTACCTAATATAACTCAACATCAAAACCACAGCTATAGTTGATTAATACACATCTATTCATCTAGATGTGCCCATTACGCACCACAGCGCCAACGTTGGACATGTTCGGCCTCACTTATGAGCTGCTCTGATTGGATGTTCATGATGGCTGTCAAGCTTCTTTGACCAATCAGACCGCGTGCTCTGTCACACCTCCCTACGCTCTATCGTTAGACCCGCCCCTGTAGGAGAGGCAGTGACAGCTTTGCAGCTGTCATGGAGCAAAAGGGACAGCCCACTTTGTTTGAGGGAGGGAAAAAAGCTTATATAAACTGTATGCAATGCATCGAAGTATGGATCACTTTAGTGACTGTTACAACATGTACCTACTTATATATAAAGCTATATGCTGCTACGTGGTCCAGTGCTGCTGTGATGAGATGTGATACTTGATGAGGTCAGATGCTCGTCACCAAACAAAAGTATTGGATTAATGTGTTTAGGGTTCTGGGCAGGGCTCAGCTATCGGAGCCATTTTCTGCACATCTAATGATGCATAAACCTTAGGTAAAAATGAGGAGAGACATCTAAACCCCTGCCCGTACACATGATAACATAACAGAGACATTAAAAGAAAAATAGTGTGCAACATAATATCCACTTTTACAACAATTCCTCTTTCCCACAGCCAGCTAAGGGCACACCCCTCTCTGTGCTCATCGACAAATGATTAAACTAATTTACGATGTATTAGCCTTAAATTAGCAGAGGTGCCCCTAATGAGAGCATAACATTTGTGCTGGTTGGTAACTTAGCCGGAAGGTATAAGAATTGGGAATTTGTGTGGGGGGGAGGCATCATCAATGATTCATATTGAACATTTCATCTCAAAGGGAAGGAACATTTAACATTCCCCATGAGTCTGCCTTGCCCCTGGAGGTGCAGGTTGTGCCACATATCAAAGGCAGGCAACAGAGGGAGGGCCCTGCAGGAACACAGCGTTAATCTGCAGCCGCTGTGTTTAACATGCAGTCCTCTGTGCATGTAGGTTGGGACTCTTTTGTCTGCTTTTCTAGACCTGGGCCTTGAAGCCGGTGCAGGCTGGGCTGCTGAGATTCCAGCTCGAGGTCTCTGGAGCCTGTGCCCACTTTACAATAATGTAGGTCATCATAGTCTGTGTTTTCCAGCTGGGCGGAGATGGCTGTATCTCTGCTGCTGCTCTGCTTCCACTGGAGAGACAGAGTGTACAGTTTATTAATCCAAAGGATTATTCAGGATTATTTAAAAGCGCATGTTTCCACTTTGGGTCATTTTAAAGGATTTCTCCCTTTCAGCATTGAGGAAACTATATCTAAATGATTTCTCAAACAAGGCTCTATATCAATTTAAAACGGTAGTATTGGAGCTTGTGGTTTTATTGGCTCTAATGTTTTGATCTCCAGACTGATAAGAGTCTAAGAGACTGATGTTGATTTATATACTAATTTGAATGCTTGTCAGGTTGGGGATTTCCTGAGGTGTGTGTGTGTGTTTGTTTTTCAGTTACCTGACATTTAATAACTGGCACAGCAGACACAGAGCTTTCTCTGTGCTCTAGACTGGTTTTGTGAAATTTGGCTTCTCCTTTTTTTTTTATCAACTTCTTGTGTTTGAAATATAGAAAAGTCACTGTGTCATGCAGTGTGCCAATGGGTGATTCTCCCATGTTGTTGGTAGGTACTCTTAAATACTGAAGAAAATAAACTGCATTGTTTTGGGTTAGTTATGCATCCACACCCCAGATTGCTGGGTTTTTATTTTACACACAAAGCCCAATGAGGTTTTAGGGCTGTAGCCAGGATTGTAGAGATAGTGAGGTAATGTGTCCTTTAAAAAAAACTGAGCAGCAGCAAAACATAACAAACATGTTTTACTTATTTTAATCTTTCATGATATTTAGTCTTCTCTGTAACTTGATTTCTACATATTTGTTTTAATGCAGCTTCTTTGCATTGCCAGGAATGACATTTGTCTGGAAATAGTGATTCCCTTTTTCCTTTAGAGTAGTAAAATGCAAATATATTGAATCTAAATATAGGTGAAACTCCCATTCATACCAACCACACATTACCTTTTTAATTGCAGGACATAAACATCCCTTATTGCTAAAATTAATTCCAAGAAAAAGCGAGGACATGCCCTCGGCGTCCTCAATGATGCTACGGCCCTGACAAGGCTGCCATTGTTTGGGTGTTATTGGTTTTAGTGTGAAAGCTTTTTATGAAGAAACCAAATGTTAATATACTTTCCATCTACTTTGGGTCGTACATTTCAGAGGTTGCTGTTGGGTCAAAAACATTGCATTCACTTCACCCCCCAGCTGCCAGGGGATGATGCTTTTGTCTCTGAGAGGGTACAGACTATTATTTTTTCTTGATTGGGTTCCTGCAGCTTTGATGATGTGGACATAAAATAAACATAGTGATATGTGAGTTTAGACAAGTTGTGTTTATAGTCACTTACACTTTCCATTGTGTGATTTTATGCAGAGGTGAGCCTCGTGCTTACCTCCACCCGTGAAACAAAGGTGGAGGCTAATCAACCTATGACTGACATTTTGACATGTGGAAAGAGCTTTCTATCTGCCACCCTCTGTTTCCTGTTGTTTTTTAGACAATTTGTGCCCAAAGTATGAGTACCCACTAAATGTTGTTGAGTCTAGGCATAACAAGTGGTGAGTCAAACAACTGCATTTTAGACATAACAAAGCTGTTACTGCATTTGAAAAATCCCAGCTGAGGGTGAAATAACTCCCATTCTGCACTGATTACTTCCCACACACCCGGATGTAAAACACTGTCCTTGCATTGTCCTCAACGCTCAGTTTTTTCCACCTGCAGCCTATGAATTCATCCTTTGTGGAGGCAGAAAATTGCACTCATCAGTGGACGATTGCATTTTGGCTGCTGCCTGACCCACAAAGTGGTGCACCTGTGTTTATTTACAGGTCTTCTTAGTAAATACCAAGTGATTGAACAAAGTGGCCGACTTCTGAAATAACATGCTTTGACCTCAGACATTTGACTGGCGGGTTGAGGGGGCGGCACACAGCGAAACTTGGCTTCAAGAGAACAACAGTGGTTTCACAACTTTGGAAGGCTAACAGCCATTCTCAGCAACCATTGGATGGATTCCAATGAAATGACCTTTATGGCCTACTTCCTCTAAGCATATTTAAGGTCAAACGTGAATGGCCTAATACCTGCAAATCTAATGGCATTCCCATAATTTATGTTTTGCTTACTGCTTATTAGAACATTTTTGCATGTTAACACCTTACACAGAGATGGAAAGCATGGAACAGATACATACATTACATCAGCATGTTAGCATTGTCTTTGGGAGCAAGCTGACATTAGCATTTAGCCCTGTGTAGCTAGCATGGCTGTGGACATATCTTCTTTTCATGTGGTAGACAAGACAAAGGAGTGAAATCACCAGATTTTTCTTTGCTTTTGAAAGTCTCAAACAACAGGATCAGGTGTCTGAGGAATGCTGCGATCCAGGTGGCCTATTTTCCTATGTCACAAGTGTGTGTGTGTGTTTAAGAAGAAGACAATGTAAGTTGGCTTGGGTTGGGTCCATCCTGTGGGGGATTCCCTGAGCACAATCTGTTAGTCGACGGGTGGGACCTGCATGTTACTACAGTGTTGCAGGCATATGGCTGCGCCCCACTCCTCTTGTTGAGGCTGAGCGGATCTGGGACAAAGAGGAAGTCATTAATCTCCATATAGGTGACATGTCGGCAGAGTAGAGGCGGAACACAAAAAACAAGACAAACTCTCTCACAAAGGAGATACATGCAACCACTGGCAGAAAAACTGAAATAAATCCTGGTGATATCTCACTTACATTCAATTTGTGTCTCCCAGATGCAACTGTAATCCGTTAAACACAAGTCAATACTTTCTGCGCCAACAAACAAGTCATGATTGATCCATCCGTTCTGAGCCAGTCACAGCCCGTTGTTTCCTTTTTCCATCTGTTAATTTGTAGTTGTTTATCAGGCTGGCCTCACAAAATGAGTGTGTGGGACAGACTCCGCTTTCTTGTTTGTAGCAATCAGTGGGATAAATACACAATTACTCATGCAAATACCATATAGGGGTTTTCCCTCCCACTCATCATTTCAAAACACAAAGAATAACAACTTAGTTTCACTGCTGAGGAAGCAAACATGTCTCTACCTAACTGAGTTTTGGAGTTTGTTATCTCTTTATGTGGACTGTTGGCTCTGCAGTGGAGACCTTGCACCATAAAAGAGCTCAGTGTGGCAAGAAGCAAGCCAAGGTTCCCCCCGTACTGAACCCCTTTTGCTGCGCAGGCCTCCATCGTCGCCATCTGCCACTGTGTTTACACCCATCAGCCAGGCAACTGTAATCTCAGTAACAGTTCCTACTGACGCAGGCAGCTCTGGGCTGTTAACTAATTCTCTGAATTCATCTGAAATAAATACTTTCTTTCAGGAACAGTCCTGAAGTCATCTCAAGCCTGCTATCTGTGTAGATCCTTAAAGCACGAAGACCTATGCTCCACATATTGAGTCCTCTGTGTGGAATACTTTTAAAAGCAGGTTTAATTATTATATATTTATATTTTTCATAGCCATTATCACCAAGAAACCAGTTTATTCCTGCTTTGCTCATCAGCTTAAACTCTTTCACTACATAGAGTAAGGTTTTGTTGCAGCTGGATACGTTGCTATGAATAATTCAGATATGTATTTAAAATATCATCTGCAATTCCTCTTTTTTTTCTGAGAATAAAATCAAGTTGATCGTCAGACATGCTGGCAGTCCTAATTATAGAGAAGGCTGTTATCATGAAGACTCACTGTC